AATATAAATTAAGTAGGATTTGACTGCATTAATTGGATTAGACAAATAACAATTTGAGTTGTCATTCTTATTTCTATCCAATCTGCAAATATATATTAGTAGAATTTTTTTTCTACTGGCAGGTTTCTTTACATGTGATATGTTCGTCTAAAATTATTAGTATCTTTTCAAAAGGAATAGTACTGGTCCCACAAAATGTGTAAATAATAGTAGTTATAAATGTGTGGTTGAAATAGACGTTTCACTTTGACTGGATAGAAAAATGAAAAATATTACTAACTTTTTAGGAAACACAATTAAAGGCAAGAAACCACCATTGTCACTGGCATATTCTGGATAATTTAACATGGGAAGCAGCATGACATGACTTTGGTAAGGAAACTCAAGTCTAGAAAAAAATTATTTGCCTTTATGATCTATGTAAGAAGTTCAAGGACATATACTTCAGTGTTTGTGAGGAACTGGCATGTATAACAACAATGAATATCAAATTATATGTATTTTACAGCAATAAAATTAACAGAGAAGTTATGACTCGCTTTCTCTCTAAATTGTTGTTTCCTTTCTGATCTTTCAGCCGCATGGACTGCCTTTCGTTCAGCTAAGCGCATAAAAACATAGAGATATGGAATATTATGCTCAAATACAGAAAGAACAGTAATATTAGATAGATTCCTTGACTCAAAATGGGGTAAATGAAAAGATAAGGAGACTTGGAAAGGAACGAGAGGAATGAGGAGACAGCTTTAACCCAGGAACTATAAATGCACCTTTGAAATCAGGGTTCCTTTCCACCTTTGTCCTGTTTAACCGGTTAATTATCTCATTTATTCGCTTTTCCACTTTTGCAGTACGAACCTAAACAAAGAACCACATAAATTAACTTTGATATCCAACCTGAACGAAATAAAATATGTGCTGCAAAATAAAGAATCCAGTACGAATGAATAACATGAAATTCTCTGGCAAAAATTGTCAAAATTTCAGTCATATAGGTCAATAGCATTTGAACAGATTCCAAACAAAATGAACACACAATATAAGATACTAAACAGGATTCAATAACCCAACTTAATTGAAGGAACAATTACATATCATTAACGAAAGGGAGTGAAACACAAATAAGTAGACAGAAAAAAAAAGGTGGAAAATTCGGTTTCACATCAACTTGAAAATTTTCAACTTCGTTCTTCATCTTAGATAGAGTAACAGTTAGCCACTAGAGGAAGAGCAGCCGGAGTGGAGAAAAAAATGTCGAGTGCAGTGCGACCGGAGATCCAAAATCGTCTGGTGGCGGAATAGTAGATGGAAGTGCTGTCGCGATGGTACCTTAGATTGACGCGCAACCGGAGATGGTGACGGTGTGGGGATTGATTTGGGTGGAATTGATTGTATGGGTGGTGGGTGTGGATTTGGGGGAAGGAGTCGGCGTTTGGAGAGGTCTTCCAATTTTTTTCTTTTTTTTTTTATCTGCATGCCTCGTCAGCCGGGAAAGACCTTGTCAATGAACCTGGCTGTGTAGCAGGGTTGTTGCAGTCGTACACATCACTCCAGCTCCACCATTAAAGTAGGTGAGATAGACAGGAGCTGCACTGCTATAAAGCAAGAAACTTTCCCTATCACCAACCATTTCAGGTCTTCTCCAGGGACTCGTAGGTGCTCCAGGGTTGAGCCCATAACCAATTTCACCATATCCACCACCAAAACTTCCAGCTCCATATGGATAACCAGCAAGACTACCATATTCAGATGGGAGATACCCAAACCTGTCATTGTAAGGGAGTCCCCCTTGCTGATCATAGTTAAACCTTTGTTCACCACCTAGCATTCCATAACGATTGCTACTACTGCTTATTCCATCTTTAGGTATAGCCCTCTTAACCACCACCAGCTTTCCACTCAACTAATGAATTTTTTTCTGCATAACCTCCTCAACACAATCCTCCGAATCAAAAGTAATAAATCCAAACCCACTTGGCTTATGGGTCACATTATTGTATATCATAACTACATCTGTAGTCCTACCAAACTTCTCAAAATAACTCTGAAATTCTTCCTTAGTTAAGTCAGCTGACAAACCTCCTACAAAAATTTCAGCTGACAAACCTCCTACAAAAATTTTCTCTGAAATTCTTCCTTAGTTAAGTCAGCTGACAAACCTCCTTCAAAAATTTCAGCTGACAAAACTCCTACAAAAATTTTCTTTGGATTACCAAGATCATTGATCATTTGATCCCACTATTCCTACTCCATACCCTATCATGCTGTTGTCTACTCTTGTCTACTCTGTTGTTGTTCACTCCATGGAATGGATTTTTCCACCTCTACCTATTGAAAAACACGGCAGAAGGGATTTAGCAAAGAAATCCTTGATTCACATCAAACAAATGTTCTTCATAACAAGAATAAAAATAAACTACCAAGTTACATATTGAATAACACAGAAAGATCAACTATTATTCTCTTTGTGACATTACAACTTTATCTCACAGAAGGCAAGAAAATTTTCAGATAGAATAATCGTTAAAATGGACCAAAAAATCTTGAAAATAAAAACATAAAGAAGTATTCATACAGTTATAAATATTTTTCATCTTTAGAAGAAATAAAAAATCATTGATGTACACTACAGAAAATAAGACATAAGAAAACCCATATACTAGAATTTTATTTTAATCTTTTCTGCCAAAAAAAAAAAAAAAAAA